TTGCCATCAGGGGTGTACATGTAGATTTATTAAATACACCTTGTGCGCCACCTAGGAACCAAATCTAGAACCCGACACTCGAAATTTTTGCTCTGTTACAATCGTACCCTGTTACAATTGACCCCACTCTCCCCTACTATTCATCAAGAGAAGAATTCAATAAATCAAAATTTCGTGCATGTTCGGGCATCAACAAACTAATGAGTAACAGATACAATACTCAGACAAGATAATATAAAATAAAAAATTTAAAAACATTCTTTCATTTTTCTTAGACTTGTAACACAAAACGTATAACTTTTGTAATTAGGCGATAAAATAGTTATGCTCAATTTTTAACGGTCAAAAAGCGATAATGGCTTCAACGATACTGGCTTCAAACATTTCTTCACCGCTGGTATCAACCGCTGTTTCTAATACTGGTTTTAACCAGTATTGTCATCAAGCACATATCTCCAATAATGATTTTAAAAATAATGCTCCAGCTAATTGGAAAGCGGTCGAAATTTTGATTGCGAGAAAATTTGATTGTCTTAAACAAACAAAAGCGAGCTAATAAAAACGAACCAAAAAATGCATTTCATTTGGAAATAAATAAATCTTAAACTCGTCACAATCCATAACTTTACAATTTCAAAAGGAAATAAAAGTCTGAATGAAAATTATACCACAGTTAAAAGGTCATCGACCTAAAAATTAGTGATACGTGTTTATTTTCTAACATTAGCGTCAAATTACCCGGGAAAGAACCCTAAATAATCCTCGCTAAGTGATACACGTGGAGTTAGGTATATTTAATCTCTCAGAATTCATTTGAAGTCGCCTCTGCAGTTCCCCATGTGAATTGCTCGAAACTTCCGAGGTGCGTGATCATTATGAAGCCTAAATTCGTGAACAAACTATGAATTATAATTCCCACGGCTACTCAACAAAATGATGGGAAATTGGTGCTCTTATGTAGTCTCGATTGATAACCCTTTTAACAAATTTTCTTCAAAAAAGAAAAAAATACTTTTTTTCTCGATCGGGTGCTAAGGAAAAAAGAAGAAACTTTTTCCCTAATAGCGGTACTTTAAAGTATAGCAGTATTAAAATTATTGGTTATAAATACTAGAAAATAGGATGTTCTGCTATTATCACCCTCATTATTTATGTTACTACTACACTGATGGAATTTTCATTGTTAAATCATGACAAAATAACGGGGAACAGTCTGTCCCTCTAATTAACCATACAGTTTACGCTGAAGAACTTTTGTTACTTTTACGGTATTGAAACCATGATTAAATAACTGTAAATACTAAATTATATGGTTTTTAAACCATTTACAACTATCATGGTTTCAAAACCGTAAAAAGGAAATTTAACTGGACATGTGAGATAGTTTAGCAGCTTTATGGCGCTGCCTAAGAGCCCAGGGTCGCAAATTGGGGCGTGCAGAATACTAAAAACTCTTTATCCATTGAAGGAAATGGAGGAACTCTGGTATCCGAACCCCCGTTCTGTCGGGCAGGAAATTGACAGATTAGCCCTCCCGGCTGTAATATGTATCCGGCCGCAAGGAACTAAGTGGCTTCATTTAATGGATCTAGTTGGTGCGAATGAATTCTAGTTGTTTAACCGTATTAGGTGAAAGCTTATAACAAAATGTTTTTCTCAGTTATCAGTCTGAATATCATCTTATTTATGTTTATTTGAATGTTCTGTTTGAATATGGTAAAATAAAAATTAAATAAATTGTTATTTAACCACTTTTTTTGAGAAATTTCTAACAGCTCTAAAGACATTTATATAATTACAAAGCTAATCTGCAGATTTAGTAGGGTAATCCGTTAAAGTGCGGAATCAAGAGTTTTCCACAATTTTCTTAGGTTAGGTTCTTAGGTCAAAAGTTTGCTTCTCTATGTAATTTTTAATTTTTTATTGCGTTTATTATCTTGATATTTTAGATTTGGAAAATAGATAAACCACCGTACGTTAATTTCCTTAATTACAATAATATTTTGAACCATTTGATTATTTGTATCATTGTTTTTAACCCTTTGTCATAGAATTTTTATTAAACATATTTTTTTTTCTTTTTTTTTGTATTAATTTGGGTCAAAATAAGTGATAAATATTGTATTTAGCGATTTAACTATTTCCAGTTTTTAATACATCATGAAATACTGGCATCTTTTTCTACGTAAAAGGTAAAATATTCAAAACGCGGCTCACTTTCAAAAATAATTTTTCAAATTTATACTTATTTGCAGTTATTTATATCTAAGAGAAACAAGTATTCATCATTGAAATTTCTTTAATTCACTAAACCAAATATTGATAATTTTTTGAATATGAATGAAAAGAAAAATTTCATGCTATTTATTTTGGATTTTATATTTTAGTACAAATATAATTTCGGTAATCTTATAGATTTTTTTAGTAACTGTTTGACTGTATTCTTAAAATTAAAAAGTTCCAAAATATAATTAAATATATAGAAGGGACACTAGTATCCCATCTGCGTTAAAGGGTTAAAGTGATTGATGATTGTTAGAATGCAGTTACTTAATAGTTTTAGTTAGCAAGTAATAAATAAATACATATGTCAATTTTAGGATTCCGAAACGTTGCTGATTTTCCAGTAAAGATCATATTTTCTTCTAAACGAGTATCTAATTGGTACTGTGCAGATTACCTAGGTAATTTCCAGACTACTTAAATAATTTAAGAAACTGAGCAATTTTTGGTACTCTAACGGATCACCCTAGTTGATTTGTATATTAGCTAGATAATCAGTAAAATAACTGATTTTTGGGGCTCTAATGGATCACCCTAGTTAATCTGCACATTAACTAAAAAATCTGCAGAATAACTGATTTTTGGTACTCTAACGGATCGCCCTAGTTAATCTGTACATTAACTAAAAAATCTGCAGAATAACTGATTTTTGGTACTCTAACGAATCGCCCTAGTTAATCTGTACATTAACTAGATAATCTGTAGAATAACTGATTTTCGGCACTCTAATGGATCACCCTAGCTAACCTGTATATTAGCTAGATAATCAGTCGAATAACTGATTTTTGGCACTCTAACGGATCACTCTAGTTAATCTGTACATTAGCTAGATAATCTGCAGAATAACTGATTTTTGGCACTCTAACGGATCACTCTAGTTAATCTGTACATTAGCTAGATAATCTGTAGAATAACTGACTTCTACACTTTAGCGGTATCATATGCATTTAGAATTCTTTTCCAAAGAATGAAATCGAAATGATTTAAACATAGGTGGTCACAAAATAGTACATAAACGAAAAAAAGAAAAACACAATCGAAAACTAATGCGAACATGCATGTCAAGTTGACAGGTGTTTCAAAACATCAAACAGCGGGAAATAATTTACACTCTAAGATCATTTCAATATATATAACTAATAAAAAATATCATTTTTGTGATTTCAGCGAATGGACAGTGTTTGAATGGATTTGAACTTGCGTGTGAATGGCTGCACGATGACAAATCTGCTCTGAAATGGGTGTTCAAAACAGGTAAAACGCAAAATTGCGTGCAAATTGAATAGTTGTCTATCTCTTGTTAAAACAAACCCCAGAAGAATATTATATCTTGATATGTTAATGCATCGATGACAGATTTGTTGCAAATATTTGTATATTTTTATGTTTGATAACATCATGCGAGCGTTTTGGCTGTATTTTATTGCCATAGAAACCGAAAGTTAGTTCGGTTTAGTTCGGTTCTCATCAAAGATTTTGTGATATGAATTTAATCTTATATTTCTTTATAATTCTATCCTCTTGGAAAGAAATAGAATTATAGAAAATATGTAAGATATTGGAATATAATTATAGATTATATGTACACTAATGCTTGTAAAAACTGAAACACTATGAAGAAATTGTCAGAAATCAATGGAATTTCTTACTCATTTTACTGATAGAGGGTTCAAATAATGTCTGAAATCAATATTTCGTGTGTTTACCACGCTGAGATAGGGACTGTACACATTGCGACATTGAATTAATCAGATTTTGAGTGCAATCCTGGGAATGGCATTTTATCTGACCACGGCAATTAAGTGCAGTTTCACCACGCATCCAACCAGCTCTGCGAGAGAGTTGCCAAACTATGAAATCCCGGGCATGCTCGATGAAGGACGACACAATCAGGAAATACCCTGGAAGAAACGAAACCTGTTGTGCACTGAAGAAGGCCTGTGCAATCTCAGAAACTTGTGCACTGGCCTTATCTAACTGAAATACAACTCCCGAAATGCATCGAAGATTGCGGAGGACCTCTTTTTTCACAATTTTTTTAATGTTCGATCATTGTTCATTGTTGAGATTTCCTGCAATTTGCTCTAAATGGGATCAACAGTTATGTCCAACAGCTTCCCACGCTATAGTGCCAACTCTTTGTTCGGTATTTTGTTGTCTTATGCCACTTGTCAGTACTAACAAGCCTATTTTAAGGCAAAAGAGTGCGCTTTATCTTGTTTTTCAGGGGCTCTATCCATGGCCAAGAATTCGACTTCTGACAGATACATTCGTCACAGCCCATTTTACAGGAAGGACACATTCCCACACCATCCATCCACGGATCGTAATTTTGACCTAAACCAGAGAACAATCTCCAATTTAGTACTTCCAGAGGTAGTATTGATTTGTTATGAGATTTTGGAGGACTTTGTGACCCCCGACAGATTTAGCGTGCAGCAGTAACCATTTTTGGAATCTTCGGTCGTTTGATAATCTAACTCACGACCACTTGCAAATGAGCCCAACATCTATCCCGGCAACGTTTGTTTGGTATCGCACTGAATAATACACTGTGAGAGGAGAGGCTCTGCTTTGCTTAGCCCATTGAAGTCGAAGGCGTCTATTATTCAGCGACAGAAGAATCCTGCTTAGAGAAACCTTTGCACATAATTGATGCTATAACAAACAGCGACAAACCATGGAATCAGACAATGAAACACTAACCGTGCTCCAAGGTTGTGCTAACACATAGGAAGACGGCATAACCATGCAGATGAGGTGTCTGTCATCTCGGACTGTTTTTCCATCGTGGGCCAAGCTGCCAGGTTTTTGCTTTGTCTGTTTCTCCTGTGTCCATTTCTTCTAAGCATGCATCTTTATCGTGTCATTACATAACGCGCGGGCTGTGATTTCTTCAAAAATCCACCGTTTCGCAAACCGACGGTGTTGCCTAGGAACTACCTTAACTGTTGATATTTCGCCCTCCGCTTTTAACGAGACATATTGACCTCTAATTAAACGCTTATCGCAGCCAGAGGACGATAAACTGATTTAAACATGTTGACATTTCTTCAGATACATGGGACAAACGGCAGATAAGGAGCCGGTTCTGGTTCCACTCTTAAGCATTCGCTTTGTAATTCTAACCATTTACTTACCTAACTTTATATTTCATGAAAGCTTTATTCAATTTACATAATTCCTATATGGGGTTGCAATTTTTACAAACGTGAGTGTATATGAGCATATATATATATATATGTGATATGAATTNTTGTATATATATATATATATATATATAATTATGGGTTAAAATTTTAAATCACATAGAAGATGACAAAATTTATAATAAAATAATTTTTTTAAAAAATCATTTTTTTCTTTTAGACATAATTTTTAAGTATTTTTCAAATGTTTAATATCATTAAAAAATACTTTTTCAATATGAAAATATTCTCGTTGATGTATACATTTGATAAAAAAAATTATAAACTTCACTATTTAAAAACTTATTATTCGAGAATAGTAAAATAAAGAAATATATCAATAAATAGCAGCTCAGAAATAAATTACAAACTATAAAGAAAGACTTAAAGTGAACTTTGCTCTTCAAATTATATATTTTGCTGAATATTTAGTTTGCAAAACATATTTGCAAAAGTAATTGTGAGTGCAGAATTTGCAATACGAAAAAATTGCTTAACTGCAAGAAAGTTTTTTTCCTCATTATAGCATCAATAAAAACTGCATATGGCTAACAATTCTATAAGAAGTAGAAGTATTAACAATGGCCATTGATAATACTTCTACTAATATGGCCAAGCTATAATTAAGCAGAAATATACATAATAGTTAATATTTCCAAAATAAAATTTTAATATTACTTATTGTTAAAATAAGGAGATTTATAGCACTTTAAATTTTAATTAAAGAGATTAATTACGATTTCTTAGGGGGATTTAAAATTTTTTTAAACTAAAAGTTACGAAATTTAACTATATATATAATTACGCACGATGTTACGCAAATAACATATTTGCATAATATTCTCAATATTGAAGAAATCAGATCAAACAAGGCGCTTCGTGATATTATACTTCATTCATTTCTAAGAGCACTGGGCCCATGTCCGAGAGTTCGTGGGTTCGAACCCTGCCGGCCGAAGACTCCCCCGTGTAATAAAATGGTGGCTGATACATGTTAAATCTGTCGAGTTGCAAAATCCTCCATGTTCCCATAACAAATCAATACCTCTGGGGGTACTGAATTGGAGATTGATCATTCTCTGATTTAGCTCAAAATTACGATCTGTGGATGAATGAATGGATGTATGAATGGATCCGCCCTATAAACGGGCGTGACGTAATGGGTGTAGCAGAAGTCGAATTCTTGGTTATAGATAGCGCTACTCAAAAAACAAGAACAATCGCATCCCTCTGCCTGGACAGGCATACGAAAGCAAGCAAGCAACTTCTATACATCTTTATAGCATAGACTCACATATTGCTCATTTGGTGAAACAATGACGTAACTGCAAAATCAAGTTACGTCATTGTTTCACCAAATGAGCGATACATAGAACATTCTATTCCCGCTAAAATATCTAAAGGAAAGGTAAAAACAATAATAATAAATAAAATAAATAAATAAATAAAAAATTAATTCGAATTTGTCCTTCTTTTGCCATTGGTCGCTGTTTTTCAAAGGAAAAATAATATTTTTTATGTCGCTCATTTGGTGAAACAATGACGTAACTTGATTTTGCAGTTACGTCATTGTTTCACCAAATGAGCGATATGTTTATAAATTTTAAATTGTATAATATCACCTTACGCAAATTAATTGCCTTTTTTTCTTTGTTCTTCAGATGAGGATGGAAGCAATGTTGTTGAATTAAAAGAATGCGAGTATCCGAACTGCGGTGTGGGTGTGATTACAACCACGTGGCTTAAGCCAAGAGAGCAGGAAGAGTGGATGTCATTCAATTACAAGATCTATGGTACATCGGAAGTCTATTTAAGAATCTATCTGAGAACAGCGGACGGTGGGGGTGGACAGCATCAGATATTTTCTCAGACTGGGAACTATGCTCATGAATTTCCGAAATCCTGGACTGAGAGAGAAGTTCTTTTGCCTGCTGTTTCTTCTAAACACAGGGTAAACTCCTGTTTTTGGGATCATTTATTAGCTTTGATAACTGCAAATTCAGTTTCGTCCCTGTTTTTGGGACAGCTCTGAAAGCAAACTTCTTAAGTAAAATCTTATTTTATACCCATCATTGAATAGCCAACTCAATTTTGAGTTCACGACTACCATTAACTAGCTTAACCCCGCCCCACCCCCGCAAGGGGGCATCCGGGGACACTCCGGAGAAGTTCGAAGTGCACGCAACAGTTCAATCACATAAGCAAACATATTCAAAACAGCGTTACTTAGAAATGAACTAAGTACAAACAAACATTACAAAGAAAATAAACAGAATCAATCAGAAGAGATATTGATGTCGCGTCTTCAGTAGGGGTGCAAATTTAATAAAAAGAAACAGTTTCACATGGTTAAATATAGTATGTTTGTAACTCAGAATATAATCACAGCTGACACAACAGTACTTAAGGTATCAAATTCCAGGAATTTTACCTCTCAGCAAGAGAAAAAGAGGATTCAAAAAAGTAGGCTTGGTTGCGATCCATGGCAACACCAGAAGGCCTCAAAGAATTTAGTGAAATCTTAGAATTAACAAGTAGTTACTCAGTATAGTATAGTAGTTACTCAGAAAATAGAATTTAGGAGTTTGAGTGTTCAAACATTATAGGCGAAGCATCAATTTAAAAAAAAAAAAAAAAAAAAAAAAAAAACATTGCAAAAAGGTAACAAACATATTGTGATGATGAAAAGTACCAGAATTTGTCCAAAGCCCATGAAAACAGATACAATTTCTAAAAGAAGAGTTACGGCGATTTACGACTATCAATGTTCAACTTCATAGCCTTGTAATTTTGAACACGATCCAGAAGACAAGAGAACTCCTAGATCAGGTATTGGGAGAAATTTGCCTTCGTGGAGAACTTTTTGATGGAACTAACCCGCATTTGCTTTAGATGGAAAGGTAAAAACACCGAAACGTCCTACGGTTAACCTGATTACAAGGTTACTCAAACCCAAGATCCGTCTACCACTGAGGATATTTTACGTCAGCACTGTGGTCAGTGTGAGCCGGATGCAGTATTCGTATCGATTAGTGTTGGGATTCGATCCCTGTTCCACCTCATAGGGAGGCGAATGCTATATCTCCTGCATCACATCGGATCTTTTAAGTGAAGTAGTCAAAATCTCAACAACGGCGAAAGAATACTGATGTCACGTTGCTGCAGTAGATTGAAAGACCCAACGCACTGCAGTTCGAAACGCTATAACGCGTTTTAGATATGCACTTGACGAAAATGAAATGCACATACAAATTTTGCTTCTCTAAAGTCCGTTTGTACCTTTTGGACACAGTTTCTCACATGTTCCACGAAATTTAAACTAATTTTCAGAAAATGAAGTAAAAATAATTTGCTTCTCAATGCTGGTGTCTGGTCATTAATGGGTTGCAGAGTTTTATCATTTGGTCTTTAAAGGGTTGCACTAGTTATCAAGTGGTTTTAGAAATTAATGCTCCTGTTTGGTATAAAATAAAATCCATCATATTCTCGTAATGTAATATTTACTCACCAACAATGCATTTTCTATCATATATACGACTTTTTCTCAACGTTTTAGATTTTTTTTAATTATTTCTTTGCATTGGAATTGCGTTTAAATTTCTTCCGCAACTTATAATAAAGCCGTAAGTTCAGTTTTGATTTCTTAAAGGAAATATTTTGAATATCAACTAATTTTGTCGATAAGAGACAATATTAAAATCTGAATTAACAAGTTGATGTTAATACGGAGAATTTTTCTATTTTAAAGTTATAAGTTACGGGTCGATGATGAGCGATAAATGGTTACAAATACTACGCTTTTTCCAATATCCATATGAGGATGTTTTTCTTGGATTTAAACATTAAATTACATCAGTTGGTCGAAGTATTTCAATTATATTTAGTTTTTGATCCTTTTCATCTGCAATTTCAAGTGTTTCATAATACTTTCTTATACATTTAGTACACTTGCAATCACCTTTTTTTTGTCTCATTGTAATTAAAATAATTTTACAGTAAAGTATCAATTTTAAAGCTTTATTTTAACTGGTATCTTAATCGCCAGAAAGTATTTTGGTTAAATTGATTTGTTCCCGATTAAGACATTATTTTCTCTATTTTTCACAATCCATCAAAAATTTTAAATATATAAAATTTTGTCAAACTGTTTTTAAAACACTTTTTTCCCTCATGGTGTTCATCTTATTAACAATTTTTTAACCTTCGATTTAAACAGCTATTTTCAAATCAATAATTTAAAAGCAGCAAAAAGTTTTGGAAAAGGTTTAGCATAGTAATTAACAAAAAAGTTTACTTTCTATCATATTAGAAAAAAGCAACCTCTACATAGAAATGCAAACTTTTAAAGATTAAATAATTTTGAATAGATTTTTTCCATTTAAGAAACGAATGAAATCTGAAAACTTTTATTATACTTCGATACTTATTATAACTTATACTTATAATTACTTATAATTTTTCAATACTTATTATTTTATTATTTTTAGATACTTATAAAAGCACACATTCCATTTAAAGAAGCATATGTAGCAGTTAAAGATATAGTTTTAAAAGGTAAGTTAGCAACATGTGTTTTTTTTTAGTTTCACTAACCATCTAGTATGATTATAGTATCTGTAACAAAAATATTTTTAATAAAAAAAATATTTTTAATAAATATTTTTTCAATTACAGGAAATACTCTTGCTACAAGTAAGTAATATTTCTTTCACCTAACCTTCATAGACCTTCGTACGAAATTAAATTTTCTTCCGTTATTATCTTACATTCATCAGCAACAGTATGACGTACCATTTAAATATTAAAATGATTATGGTAAAGGGTATTTCCCCTGCTCGTTTTGCTCCGCAACCCCTGCAGGTGAGTTAATGAGGGCAACGAGTAAGAGCACGGGGGAACCGCGGTATTTTTCATTATATCAACTTTTCCTAAATTTAATTTTTCCTGTCTCTCACTGATTTGCTTCTTCGTTTATATTGATCCAAAATCTTTATCAGTTTTCTTATTTTAAATAACATATATATTTTTTAAATAAAATTAGGAAAGAATACAGTTTAATTTTTAATTACCCATTTAGAAAATTTAATTCTGGTTTAATTTTGTTAAACAAATAATAGCACAGTAAGAGCGACCGTTTTTATGATTTTGCAATTTTAACGTAACTGCAAAAGCGTATTTCAGATTTTTTAATCATAAAGATTGCTTAAGAAAAAGGTGAAAATTCAATTTCTAATAATTTATTTCAAATTCGTGTTTTGCTTTAATTCTGCGAGTGTAAAATCCTGTCGATCAGGAAAGTTGGCGTAAATTCTGCCAAATTGGCATCAAATCGTTTCATATTGTAACTAGCTCATATTTAATGAGAATTAGAACAAAAAATTATTTTTAAAAAACACGTTGATATTAATGTCTTAAATAGTGTGGCACAATTCATATTTAAAAATAACTAAACATATAACTGGTGAAAAATAGTGTTTGGTTTTAGCGAAAATGGAATTTCATAGAAGTGCCACTTTAATACTTTAATATCATATGCTAATTTGGTTGCACAATTCCATTAACTTTATTAAAAGTGTATAGGCGAAGCTTGACCAAAGTATTGAGATCATATTCAATTTTGCGGCTACCCCTCAAAATTTGATAGTCTAGAATTTAAAGCAGCTGAAAAAAAAGTATGTTTATTCAGTGAAAGTCCGTTTTTTGTGCCAGATTACTTTAAATACCGTTTGCGAAAATTAAAGCATATTAAAACTCTAGTCTTCGAACCATTCAGTTCGTATTAAGTTACAATCTGACCATTATATCAAAAGTTATTATCTTTTTTTTTTATCATTACTTTGTGCACTATGCATATTTTTAACATGGATTATTTATCTCTAACCTAGCATCTAAAGATTTTACAGAACACGAAAGAGTATGTTTATTTATGCATAAAATAATTCTCAATTTTCATCATATTTAAAATTCTGAAGGAAACTTTTTTTTCTAAATGTCTGAAATAAAGATCCGGAACTTTTATGGATTATCACATAAAATAAGCTTAGCGCGTGTTGCATTTTGGTTTATTCTCAATATCAATATTTTTATGGGAAAAGTTTGGTTTGATAGCGGCACTTTTATGACGCTCTAAAACTTTCAAATTTTAAAAAAAGGGAAAGTAAACATCTTAAGTAAACAGTTTTATATGATCGCGTGTTTATTTAAAATATATCCTCCTCCACTCCAATGAAATAAATTCAAAATTGAAAACAAAATCATGAAATATTTTGAATATTACCTGGGCACAAATATTTGAAACAAAAACTAAATATTGATTTGGAATTCATAAAAATATTCGTTGGTATATATTAACGGTAACTAAATCTTTTTAATCATAATGAATTTTCAATAGTAATTTCATTAATAAACGAATCTTTATAAAACACTTTTGAAACTCTGTTGTTTCTGGCCGAAATTCATTTGCAAACAATGACATACTATATAATGTTTGATTAAACACAGTAAATGCAAAAATTTCACAAAATAATATGAGAAAAATATAAAAATAGTTTTGATATTGCATGCAATTTTTCTCATTTAATAAACGGAATTATCGTAAAGTAATAATTATAAACAATGGAGAAATGGTAATAAAAAAAATAAAAAAATATAAGGTAAATACGTTTCTAAAATGATAAGATAGATTTTTTCTTCGGAAAACAAAAGCAAAAAAATAAAAAATAAATGAAAGATATTCAATTTTGTAACATATAATTTGTTATACAAAACAAGTCAATTGTAGCTTCAGTTTAATTATTTCTAATGAAAAACTTTGAATTATTGATAGAAGATAAATACCAGAACTAAGTATAAATAAAAGTTTTAGTGCATTTCACAAACTTTGTATCACACTGTATTGTAAACAAGAATTGCTTAAAAAGCCGTGGATGACGTATTATTTTTTGTAAATACTATTGCGACATATTTTCCAAAATCTTAATACAGGCCGAAAATCTTGCAACAGTTTGCCTCATAACAGGAAGCAAAATCGTGGGTATTCACATTGTAGGTAATTTAATGTAACACAATTTTAAAGTAAGGCTTCAAACGTAATATTTTCCCAATTTTATATCAGCTTTGCAGTTAGTAAGTTTTTGCCGCAAGAGCCAAAAGGGCTAATTTGCGCCTAATTGTTTCATTCTAGCGACCTCGTCAGCCCATATTTGTGGGCGGTTAATTTTAAGTTTACAGGAGTTTTTTTTTTTTTTTTTTTTACATAAATTTTGAATAAATTACTTTTCAATTATTACTTTCCTTTAAATTTATTTACTATCAACCTTTTGTTGGTAATTATGTCCTTTTGAGTTTCAAGTCTCACTAAGAAATAGCTTGTAACAAAGTGCTTCTTTAATTATTAACAATTTAAGTAAGTGGAACTAAAGGAGTATTTTAGCAAATACAGCTTGTTACATTATATAATATTCCATTTTTTAAAAACTTACCTATTTTGTTTGTTTGTTTTTTAAGTTTTTCATTTAGCTACTTGCTTTACGTTCCAAAATTTCAAAAAATTAGGAGTTGAAACTAAACGCTTTCATGTAGAATTTTTCCTTTTATTTCGCTATATTTAATATTACTGTATAAGATTTTGATGAAGAATTTTAAATTAAGCAATGTAAGTTGCGCTGAACTCAAATTACGAAGGAAGTTTCCAGAATTGCAATACCCGGTTTTGGGTTAATCGCATGATCACGGCAGAATGCAATGCTCGAAATATAGGAGTAAATGCAAATCACTGACTTTGAGAACTTAAAATTGTTCTGTATAGTCACCTATCGTTTGTTTTTATAAGCTTCAATATTAAATTTTTTTGAAGTAATTTCATTTCTTAAATCAAATTTGACTCTAATTTCTGATGAAGCAGTCGCACATTATTGCTCAAATCTCAAATTAACAAAAAAAATTATTATGAATTATTTATGCTCATAGTATAGCAATTACTATTAAGCAAAGAAACCGACATTACGAGCAAAATCATATGAAATGAAATTTGTTTAGATAAGTTAAACCTTAATTAAACAAACCATTTTCAACAAAGCTATTACGGGTCATTTTTGTTAAATACTCATTAAAAGAAACAACAACCATTCCGTATTCGAACAAACTGCATTTCAATTCGTTTTTTAATTCTTTGGCTATTTTGTTTCATCCTATTTATTTTCTAAACGCTGTGCAAAATGAGTGTTCTCAAAAATTAAATTAAATTAAAAAGTAGACAAAAAAATTAACAAAAACTTTAGAGTTTCCTTGCACCTGGCTAAGCGAGAAGTACCATAAAATGTTATATTGAATCTTGTTTTCATTCAAATTTAAATTATCGTGTAATCAAAATTAAGACATACTGTTGCATGGTTCAAGTTTATATCACCATAAAAAGGTTGCAGTAAATTTGGAGAGTTCAACCCTTTCGAAAATTTCTCACAATGCAATTAGTTTCTATAAACTTCCTCAAAGATTTCAAACACAGGTTAAGGGTCTGGATGTCCCATTTTTGGAGCCTGTTTTTGTAAAAAAGACAGGGGTTGTGTTGAAAGGTTTTTAAATAATTTCTTTCCTAGGCACACCAGTGGCAGCCGGCATTGAGAGAGAAGACGAACGTAAGTTTTTTATTCTAAAACACTTAGATGTGCGGCAAATACTGCTCCTTACTTTCTTTCACTACACTGGGTTCTTCTACGCTATATCTGACACTAATCTTTTGATCTATTTTTTACCTTCTATCTTTTTTTCAAGACATATTTATGCATTTTCTCAAAAATAAATTGAAAATCTTAGTGGTAAACCTTTTTAAAGTACATTCTATAATAAAATCAGGCGATTTTATTGACAGTTATAAATTCATGACATAATCCATAAATCCATTCCATGACAATTATAAATCTCAATTTGTTTTTTAAACTATTTAAAATAGGCAGGTCATTATGAGGTAGGTCTACCTATCTTCTGCTAATCTTTTGTTTTTTCAATAACTTTATATTTAAGCATATTACTTATAAAATAATGTTTTTTAGTTTATAGGAATATGAAATATTTTTTTCATCAAATTTAACTGGTCACAACTTAAACAAAAGGGAGAGAATTATTATCTGAAAAAGATCAGCATCTAGGAAAACAAATTTTAACATTTTTAGTTTAATTACTGCAATTAATTAAGGGACATTTACTATATTGGTTTATTAAAATACCGAAAAGGGTGAAATTGGCTTAGAATTGCCCAGTAAGCATTTGATACGATATAGTTTCTCAAAACTTTGGGTTTATCCTAAGACAATGCTTTTAAATCTAATCCTAATATTAAAGAAAAGAAACTTATTCTAAGTTAACAATTAAAAAACAATATTTTTTAAGTTTTTGCGTATATCATAACAAAATTTAAATATTCAGTTATAATTTAAATATTTGAACATATCTCTTAAAATTTTGAAAACATCCAACATTTCAGGTTTTAAAACAAATCCAAATTGAATGTAAGTAGAGAAAGATAATTAAATTTATGCTTTTAGTGAAAATTAACTTGATGTTTTTTTTTGTGCCATTAACCATTTATACCACTTGTTGCTGTTTAGTTGTGGTTCTAAAAATAGATGAAAACAATGATAGTTAAGATAAAGATAAAGTAACTATACTGTAAAAAATTTTAAAAAGTGATATTTTTTATCATTTAAAATCACATACCTAATTTAGAGAAAGAAAAATACTTAAATTTATTAATATGATTTTTTATATTGACTTATGTTTGTGTTTTATTTATTCGTATAGTATTTTTTTACTTTGCTTTTTTCAGTTTATTTTTTATATTTTAGTTGCAACCAAATCAGAATCCACTGAAATCCTACCTAATCTAGTTACTGTAGCAATTAATGCTACCGACGACACATTTATTAACGTATCATCAGGTACTACAGCACTTGAATTTCTTTAATGTTTCATTTAAATTATTTAAATGTTATAATTATGTTTTATTTCGCTCATCTGTTTTATTTTTTTATCTTTTTGCTGTTATAATTTTATTTAGATATATTTTAATAGCCAACTTTGGTTTTTTTTATGTACAATGCTTTCTGTATTTTTACTTCTGATATATTTGCTTCCCTCCTTAATTTCAAACAAAATAATTTTTAATTTAATGAATTAACTTTAATATCTTTCGATAATATATAAACTCAAATTTTCTATGTATGTTATATAAAATAATAAACCGGTCTCATTTTTGTCACAGTTTAATGAGGTCTTGTTCTGTTTATTATTTTTAAGAAGCACAAATAATATATAAACTCAAATTTTCTATGTATGTTATATAAAATAATAATCCGGTCTCATTTTTGTCACAGTTTAATGAGGTCTTGTTCTGTTTATTATTTTTAAGAAGCACAAATAATATATAAACTCAAATTGTCTATGTATGTTATATAAAATAATAAACCGGTCTCATTTTTGTCACAGTTTAATGAGGTCTTGTTCTGTTTATTATTTTTAAGAAGCGCAAATTACATTCAGACTGCATTTACAGCTACGTACACAGAGCATGTAACTTAATTATTACCAAATAAAATGTATTTTCCAAATATGAAGAAAAAGATTCTTTATTACATAGCCTAGGTTTGGAATGTTCCATTCTCTGAAAAGTAGGTTAATTAGCTAAAAGTAAGATTATTCCTTTATCCAGAAGCTAATAATAAAAATATTTGGGAAGAAAAGTGTTGTTAGATCACCTATTTACTACTGTTTTTAATTGTTTTAAATTAAAATATTTTTCATTGTATTAATGCTAAAGCGTGTCTAAGTAGCACTCGTTATTTTTTTTAATACTACTGAAAAAACAATTTTTAGTATCATGAAGAAACTTAGAAAAAACATTTTTGAAAACTTAGAAAAAACATTTTAGTATCATGAAAAAACTTAGAAAATTTTTTTTTAAAGGTTACTATTACTACTATACTATTCTATATTTTTCAATATTCCATATTATCCTAACAATACTATTCTATACTCTATTCTAATAATATTCTAATAATACTATTCTATATTATTCTAATTCTATTTAGTCACTTTCAGTGACATTTAAATTAACATTATTAAATAGTACCAATTTTTCCTTGGCGCATTCTATACATCTGGAAATGATATTTTCTATATTTCCAGGTTGGATAATCCTTATGGAGCAGCAAGAAAAAGCAAATCAATCAATAATTATCCAATATTATACAAGATATCCTTTAATGACCTCCCTTAATGTACTTAAAATCATTGTAACAAAGAGTTAAATTAAGCAACATTCATATAAGAGGTTACAGCATTCATAAGTCATAAGTCGTACATGAATATTTTTATAATAACTAGTTTTAATAAACTTTATAACTAGTTTAATTAGTTTTTCTTACTGTTGTTCATAATATTTTTTCTAAATTAATAAAAATTTCATTCCTTCAACTTTGTTTCATTCGTGGTATTGAAACTCATTTGCTTTGAAACTTTATACTCAGATAATCAGTTTTATGATTAATTTATTACTTGCTTTGCTCTTATTGATCTTAAAAGTGACTGGTCAGAGTTTGAAAACATTTTTATTCCTTTTCTCTTATAAATTAATTAGAAAATTCAAAAGTGCCTTACTTGTTACTTTATTTTTACAAGAGCTCTAAAAAAATATGCATTCAGAGTGGTCATTATACAACCCCCATAATAATAAATTTAATAGCAATAAAATAGAATTCGGTATTATGAAGCATTTTATGTGACGAAAACTAAAATTTTCGAAACAAAAAATAATCATTTCGACTAATTCAGCAAGACCTTTTACGTTTGTTGAATAAAATTTAAAAACTTTTGTTTCACTTTTAATTTTCATTACTAATTATTTAGACAATTCCTTTAGAGCTAAGTTTTCGATATTCTGCTTACTTGAACTAAGTAAACTTTCAAATTAAATTCCTATTAATTTACTAGTTTTCATGAAACCTCTAAAAATATAAATTAAGAGTGGTCATTACACAACACCCTTAATAATGAATTAAATAACAATCAAATAGAATTTGGTTTTCAAAGCATTTTGTGTGAAACAAAATGTATATTTTGTTTTGTGAAATAAAAAATACTTATTTCGATTTGTTCTGAAAAACCTTTTAAATTTGCTTAATAAGTCTTAGAAAATTTTGTCTAACTTTTAATTATCTTACCAATTAATAATGCATTTTCTTGTATACTAAGATTTCGAAATTCTGCTTTTTGACACTAAGTAAGATTTCAAATTCATATCATATAATTCATTTCTTATCTCCAAATATAGAGCTTTCTCTATCAGGCAACTATTGGAACGGTGCGTTAGGTTGTACTCAAGTGTTTGATTTCTTAAATATTACTTTCCTTCCTTTGCCATTGCAGCATACACTGAAATATTTATGCGTAAGTAAAATCAAAACAAATTCAAATTTAAATTCAATTTTTCTTAAATCAAATTCTGTTGCGACACAAAAATTTAGTTTTTTATCTGTTTCATTAATTTACAATAATTTGAAAGCCAAATGTAAAAAATAAACCCATTTTTTAAACTGACAAAGTTATAGTTTTTGAATACCCCTTTAGTAATACATGTAGTTTAATCACATGCTACATATAATTTTCATGAGACAAATTCATTTCAGATCAAATATTATTTAGACAAAACATTTCGGGAAAAATAACGTTTACGAAACATCTCATTAACAAAATAAATTCTGATGAACTGTAAGAAAAATTTTTGGGAAAAAAATTTATGGATTACATACTTCACTTTAAAAAATTTAAAGAAGTAAGCCAATGCATAAAACGCGTGTGAATTAAAGTTCATGGATAGCATTTAGTAATTCATGTTGTTTAATAGCCATAACTCACATATGGTTTGTAGACAAAATGTCTTTGCTAAGTTTTTTCCGGACAAAATATCTTTGAAATTAAATATCTCGCGAAAGAAATAATTTGTTTTTACGTAACATCCCGTTAACAAATTATCATCTGACCTAATTGATTCGTGAACAAAATGTTAATATGAGGAAAGCATTATGTAGATAAAATTTCACTTGAATTTTTAATGACTTGAAAAAATTGTCATTTTGACGAATTATACTTTCTACAGTTCGCAAAAAAAAAAACGGTTCACCGTGAATAGCTTTTGATCTAATGATCGGATATTCATGTTTTTTGCACTTTACAAGGTAGAATAGTTCCTAAGAAATCCAATTTTAAAAAAGTATTTTTAAAATTCAATTTCTCAAGAACTATTCTACTGTTTTTGCTCAAATTTTGCATTTTGCCAAGTAACATTGCATTAATGCCATGTAAACAATTGTATATTAAACAATTCAAAACATTTTCGACTATTAATAAATAATGTAATAAAAAATAATGAATGTTTTTCAAAAAATCACATTTTTGCATGGAAATATCTCTGAATAAACGAATATTATAATTATGAGCGAAATAATTTTTCACTCGCTTAGAAAAGTGCGAAATATAGCGAAATAAGCAAAAAGTAAAGTTGACATTAAGGGTCCAAACTTGGAGCACTCTTTTTAAACTATGGGGACCGTATTTCCCCGATTACAACCCAACCACCCCCTTTATATTTGCGGTTAGAAATCTGCATCTGTCGAAAAAATTTGTGTTTCTTCAGAGAATCATATTTTTGCTTCTGATTTCGTAATTTAAAGTATTATGTGTATTAATTAACATATTTTTTGTTGCACCCACGAACCATTAAGATTAAGTTTAAAACGTGAAGATCGAATCATGAAATCAAAAGTTATTCAGGGTGATCCATTTATGTAATTATTTTTTGCACACTGCAACAGATGTAGAGTAGGTTGTTTGTATTTAAAAGAGCTTTCCTTGCTATTCATTGAAGAATCATTGCTATCAAATGAATTACTATTTTTTTTATTTTGACTGTTGAATATTTTTACGCGAATTTTTCATTCAATATATCAGTGTATATTTCTTGTGAATGTATTAACATGTTTAGGAATGTACTTAATTGCTCCTCAATTTTTTTTTTAATTTTCGGCATTTTTTGACATGTTAACGAAATTAAAACTAACTAATTTTTTTGATGAATAAATTTTATTCGAGATTTGAGTGAATACTGAAGATAATTGTTCTAATTAATCTCCTTCTATAGTTGAAAAAAAATATTAACTTTCTCTGAAAGAAAGTAAGAATTAAAGAACGTTTTCGTAAAAGGAAAGTTGCATTCTGCTTTTTAAGTCCAGAATGAAATAACGATATAAATATTGGTTTTAATGTTTTATTTAAAAAAAATCAGAAAGAGTCAGTATTATTTTCTATAACCTATAATAATCTAAAGTTCAAAAAGGTCGGCAGTTTCATGAGCCTAAAAAAACTATTTGATTACATTAAAGTACACTTCAAACTTTTTTTCTTTCAGAAACTCAAAAGTAATTTTTCAGAATATTCTAAATAAACTATTTTCTAACTTCTAAATAAACTATTCTAAATAAACTATATTCTCTGAAGAAAAAAATTTGTAAGAATTTAAATTTTTTTTTATCCTTTGACATTTTCAAACCTTTTTCTATCTTTATTTTATGCACTAAACAAATTTTGAACTTTCAGTCGTATTCCCAATTTAGAAATCTCTGCCTTTGATGTAAATTCGCAACGGATCTGCAAACTTTCAACATCAAAGTTATTTTTGACAAACATTTCGCTGGAAAAAAAATTGATGAACAGCGAACTTAACTAATAAATTTTCCCGCAATCTTTTTAACTTTAAGACAGTTTTCCAGTTAAATTAAGGGAACCTTAAAGTATCTCAGAAATAATTTTCGTCTTTTTATTCCAATTTATTGCATTTTGTACCATAATATAAATTTGAACAAAACTGTATTTAACTTAATTGCATTTAACTTAAAACTGTATTTAACACTATTATTGTCAACAAAACTCCTTAAAATCGAAACATTCCAAATTGAAACTCTTCATATAGTTTGTGAAATCAATGTTGAATTGAAATAAAAATCAATAATTATTTCTCATTTTGTTAAAAGAATGTCGAAGTTTGTACAAAATGCAATATGTGCGTGACCATTCCAAACCATCCACTCAATTGTGTTGCCATGACGCAAGACGGTCTATTTAAACGACGCACTGTGGGCCAGAAGACCATGATCTTTGGCCAAAAGTCAAAAATTAAATTTTCAACCCAAATTTTGAAACAAATTTTATCGAAATACTAATTTTGGCCACGAAACCTTGGATGCTGGCCCACTGTGCGACGTGACATTCTGCAGCGGCTGATGAAGTCAAACAAATTCGTGCTTCTAATCTGATAAGAAAAAGAAAATCAAAATCACCAATTATGCACATTTAATTTGAAAACTCCTATTTTGAAGATATTATTGTATGCATACTTTTTTGTTCATTTTTATTCTATTATGGGGCATAAGTTTTCCATAAAGTTCACACTTTATGTGGAATTTCCAATTCTATTTTTTTTTCAATCAATAAAATTGTACTTAAGAATAAAAAACAATTCTCGTGAAGGAACCGAAAAGTTTATAACACACAATGTTCCATCTCTCTGTCTTGTATACTTCAAATTTTAAAATTTTATAACTTCAAAAAACTTTTAGTAATGCACTACTTTTATACTATATGAGGATAAAAAAATTATTTACAGTTGAAAAGTTGAAATGCGTTCATATTTGAAATGAGTGAATAACTTCTTTTATTATCTACCACTTTTGGTTTAAAAGTGAAATAAAAAAATTACTTGATTTCATATCCATATAAAGACATACATTACAAATTTGATAGACTAAGCTGAACGCTAGTAAAGAAATCATACTGCTAACTTCATTAAATTTTTTTCAAATCATCTGTCCTCTTATGATGTAGTTGAGTTTTAACTACTCAAGTATCAATCTTAATAATTCAGTTATATTTTTGTAAAAATTCAGGAATCAAGGAGCAAATTCAAAAATACATCAAAAATGCACTTCTTCAAATAAATATAAATAACACAAAACAATAAATTAAGTCTTCTTTTTTAAAAAAATACTGTCAAGTTTATAAGAGAAAAGCAAAAAATATGGTATTTTTCTCTAATCTAAATAATATTAATAACAATTTATTCACACAAACTGCTAAAATTTTAAAAATGAATGTTGTTTGTAAAACATCTTCACCGAATTGTTACCAACAATGAACAAAAGTTGTAAAGCAACTAAGTTAAAAAGTTGAATCTATCTAGGGAAAAAATAATGAAAAAAATTGATTAATTTTGCACAACTTCAAATGTTATTTTTCACTGCATTTATGATTTCTATTCCATTAAAATAAAATCGTTTGAAAATCCAATTTTGTTTTTTTTTTCAGATGGACAAGCTTAATCTGATTAACAAGATTGTTAAATTGAAGTTTCAATTAAGGTTCCAAATTTAATTTTTAATAAGTTTATTTTTTTATTAGGATTGCTTGAAATTCAATTTAAAATGCTTAACCTCACTCTGCATCATATCACTCTTCTTGTTTATCGTTTGATTTTTCATTTATGACGAGCATAGTTTTGAATTATATAAGTACATCGCAATTTATAATCATAACTTATATAAAATTCGATGAATAATATGCTAAAAAATCAAAAACGTGTAAAGTGTCTATTCATTTTATTCGAAAAAAAATAGTTTTGAAAGACATAGGAATATCAGAAAGGCGTTTGAACATTTTTTATTTTTACTTTAAGGGCTTAAAAGAATAAATTAATTTTCCACACTTATAATATTTCTTAACATCGTAATCAAAATGTCATCGTACTTGTTCTTCTAAAAAACAATTTTATGCATACCTAAAAAAAAATTATCTGCTTTACCTCTTACTATGCTTTATTATTCTAGATGACTCTAGTAGTTCTGTTGATTACGAAGATGAGAATGGATTAGGCGACTCGCCCCCAAAATCTATAGAAGAAGGTAAGTACTGAAGTCCTTACTGGTCTTTTTTTTTGCATTCTCTAAAATACCTAGATATTCCCTCAAGTTCCGTACTTCAATATATATATATATATANATTATATCTTCTTAAGATAAAAAACGCTTTTGTGTCACAATGAATGAGTCTATTCCGCCAAGGTTACAATTAGCAGTTGTTTGTAATTTAAGATCGCCCGGTGGCTGAGTGGTAGCGCTTCGCGCTCCCGTGTCACAGGTCCTGGGTTCGATCCTTAAGCCGGGCAAGGTTGACTCAGCCTTTCATCCCTTCAGTGGGTCAATAAATGAGTACCAAGCATGCTTGGGAACTAAACACTGGGGTTCCGCGTTCGGCTGACCACCTGATTGGAACATCTGCTCCTGCACACCAGAGCCCAAGGTCAAGAAAACTGAGATGGGCACAGTTGGCCTTGGCCCTATGGGCTGTCGCGCCACTGAGTTTAGTTTAGAGTTTAGTAGCCGGACAGCAGCTCAAAGTTTGGTCCACTAATTATTAATTTTTCTTCTTGTTACTTTCGTCAAAGTTCATTAAATTTTTAAGGGAATCGAAAAAAATTCATAAAAGCTTATAAAATTTGCTTATCAAAAAATACTTTCATTTAAATTATAATGTTTAATAAATATTTTTTTTATTATTATTATTTTGTTTAAAAATGGTGGAAAAAAATTTGTATCGTGAGGCAGAAAACTTTTACATTATATCAAAATATGTAATTTTAGGTAACAAAATACAAAATTTGAAAAAAAATCGGTCAAATTATTCCTACACTTAAAAATTTAGAAATAAATTTACAAAAAGTAGAATTTAGAATTTTTGTTACTCAAGAATTATTCAACATATATTTTTCAAATTTTAGGTTTCAACATCTAAAAATAGTTTAAAGTAATGTAAAAATTTGAAAACCATACAAATCAAATAATGTTTTGACTATTACTAAGTAAAATAATGAATAAATGCTAAAAATTAATTTATGCGTGGAATTATTTTTTAAAAACGAATTTCATAATTGAGTGCAATTTTTTTTAATTTACTATAACAGTTTTCGAGATACAGCAAAATAAGTAAAAATTGAAATTTACATTAAGTGCTCCAAACTTCAGACTGCTTTCTTGCCTAGACTAATGTAATCGTGTTTTTCAGATAACAGTTGCCCCCTCCCCCTCCCACATATTTTTGTAGGCTAAGAATTTCTAATCTGCCGTAAATGTGTATGTTTATTCTAAAAAAAAAAGATGTTTTTGTGTTGAATAATTTTGTAACTTAATTGATAGTTATCACTTACTAAACAATATATCTGGAGTAACCTCTTGGTAACCATTGGTAACCTTGAGGTAACCATTAAGGTTGATACTTAGTTTGTGAAATTAATGCGTAATATAAAATGTTTTAATGACGTGTTCTTTACGAAAAATCTTTAAATAGAGCTTAACTTTGATAATTTATAAAATGTTGAATAAAAAATGTTAAAAAACAACCTATAAACTTGTTCGAAATAAAAGGAAATGTATATTTTTATTTTAGAAAGGTTTCAAGCTTTAGAAGTTGATTTTATAGGAAGTGAGTGCAAAGTTGAAAATTCTTTTACGAAAAACAAATACTGAAATATCAGATGTGAAAACCTTTTTCTTTTCTTTCTAGGTGAAGATTTAACTAAGGGTTATACTAGAGGTAAACAATGTATTTTAATATTTTATTTCATTATTGTGTTTCTACAGTTATAGTTTGAGTTCGTTAAATGTTTTATTTTATGCTAAGGATGAAGCTTAACTATCCTACTCAAAGTAGAATTTTTCTTTGTTCTCTTTTACAGTTGAAAAAAATTAACTAGTATAAAACATGGAGAAAAACATTTTGCTAGATTTACTGTACTTTATAGTAATGAAACCTTCTGATAAAAGAAACCATAATTCCGGTTATAAAACCAAAATATACTGCATTTAAACCATTCATTTTGTAATTTTTCAGTTTATATGACAACGGTTTACCGGAAATTCTACTTTTCCAAGTTCTTATTGACGCACATCTAGTGAAAAATACGAAAGTGAAAAGTAAATTTAATTGAATAAATGGCTTTTACGCCATGCTCTAAGGTATGAGGATTTCCAAATTTCACTAAATTTTATCACGTATTATAACACCATATTTCATAGTTATTTTTAATAAATCATTAAGAAAGCTCTTCGGTAAAAATTACCCAGCTTTTTGGTGTTCCCATAGAGTCAAAAACACGGTAAATTTTACCATAATCTGATAGTTTTGACCATACTTTTTCTCTCTGTGAACGATAGATTAAATACTTTAAACATCTAATGTCTTCTTTCTTTTTCAAAATAAATCTCCAATTAGGAGATGTTTTATCACCTATACCTATAAAAAAAAACTATAAAACCTATACCTATATAAAAAGATCCCCTTTATGAAAAAAATCATAAAGTCTGTCACTAAAGTTTTTTCAAATATTGTAATTCCAAACAATCATCATCATCATCAATGGCTCGACAGCCCAGGGTGGGCCTTGGCCTTCTCAGGAAGTTTTTTCCAGACTAACCTTTTTCCTGCTAGTGTTTTCCAGTTTTTAGTTTTTAAGACCAAAAGATCTTTTTCTAGGCTATCTATCCATCTCAAATTTCCTGCCTCTTTTTTGTGTGCCAGCTAGTTTGGAATTGAAAACTCAATTTGTGGTACGATCTTCGTCCATTCTGATAACGTGGCCCGAACATTTTATTCTTTGTCATTTAATTAAGTTAATAATATCAGGTTCATTATATGTGTGATAAAGCTCTAAATTTGTTCTACTAAGTCACATACCATTTTTTTTAATGTTTTAAATGTTTTAAGCATCTAAAATGAACAAATCTTTCTTTTTCAAAATAAATCTCCAATTAAGAGATATTTTATCTCCTACATAAAAAAAATCATTAAAAGCTATGATCAGTTTTCAATTTTTCCATATATTGTAATTCCAAACAATGCAGTGAGAAAAAATACTCAACTTTTCAAACATAAGAAAATTCCATCATAAATTTATTTAATTTTTTTAAACAAAAATAGTGGATTTTTTACATAATACCACCATTTTTATCATCAGTATTAGAGATATGGACAAAATTAACCGTTTAATCGTTTACCGTTCTAACCGTTTACGAAAGAAATTTAACTAACTGGTAATGGATAACTGTTACCATGTATATTAAAAATAATCTGAAATTTAAAAGATAAATTCAATAATAAAGAAGGAAATAGAAATATAAAATTTGTCATTTGTTCCATTTGTGAAGTTTGGCGATTTATTCTCAGCAAGTCTCAAAATTAGCTTCGCAGTTCATACACAGTCGAATTTGAAAGAATAAAACAACGTTAGTAACTGCTCTCTAAATTAATTATATTAAAGCCTCTAATGTACGTAATTTTTGAATTTATGAAAAATATATGTTAAAAACATCTTACAAAAATTAAAAAGTTAAAATAATGAGACTTCCTGTTAATTAATTGTTAATAATAAAAAATATCTTATGGTCTGGTTAGAATAATAAATTGTTTTAGCATTTTCTGTTATCGTATAATTATATGAAGATTCCCTTTGATTAAATCATTAATAATGAAATTTCTTTTTGTTAATAATAAATTGTTTTTATATTTTCTGTTATTGTTTATTTGCTTCTACATAATGAAACTTACTGTAATTAAATAACTAATAATTAAAAGTATCGTATAGTCTCTTAAACTTAATGAATAATTTTATTATTTTCTGTGATTGTTTAATTGCTTAAACACATTGAAAATTACTTTAGTTAAATAATTAATAATGAAAAATATCGTATAGTCTGTTAAAAATAATGAATTGTTTTATAATTTTCTGTTATTGTTTATTTGTTTTAACATAAAACTTCCAGACATTATATAATTAATAATGAAAAATGTCCTACAAACTGTTGAAAACTAAATTGCTTTGACATTTTCTCTGCGCAATCTGAACTCCTTTTGGCATCAAACTATTAATTACATGCTGAATGAACCCATAATTTGCTTGAAGTAGTAGTAGCAAAATACTTTTTTACGTCTTATATCAATAATTATGACCTTATTGGTAATGGAATACTAAGAATATATTGGTAATGGAATACTAAGAATAAAATGGAAAATAGAATGAAATTTTAATTGTGTATTTTTGTAGTAGTAAAAGGGTTAATATTTAAGTTTTTATTTACTTTACTTTGTAGCTAAAAGTAAACAATAAGTATAATTCGTTATAACAAATATATGATATGACACAATTTATTTCATTTATTTATTTATTTTAGTGGTGGAGCCAAATCTTTGCAAATACAGCTAATTCTAAACGAAATGTGTTGGAGGCCAATTCAACCGAATTTAAAAGGCACCAGTGAAGATTCACATCTGAAAAGAATTATTTATTCCTTAAGTTAAATTATTGCTGGCGTATACAAGAAATTACACGAAATAAAATGTTATAGTTTTATTTGGTGATTTCTTTTTGGTGTGTGAATTTTGATTCAGAAATAAACAATTAATAATATTTAGAGTTGTTTGTTTATGAGGAGGACGCTATACCGTGAGAGGAAAATTCCATGACAAATTCTTTTTTTACGGATATCAGTAATTTAAAAAGTATAGAAAAAAAGGATTTCAGGTAAACTTAGAGTAATAAAGTTTATTCGATACTTTCAAATTTTAATATACTAATTGAAATGAAAGAGAATTAGTAATGAAAAGTTTTTTTTTCATAGTATAGCGTCTTCTAAAAAAAGGAGGATTCAAAGTAAAATTTGGTGAAAAAATTATTATTCTTTCAAAATGCGTTATTTCAGTATGAATTGGATAAAATCATAAACTTTAAATCAATACGTATCTTTATTTTGAGTGCTGTTTAAGATAAAACTTTTTCAATCTTACTATCCGATCAACTAATTTTATTTTTAAAACTGTCTAGCACCTTAATTTTTATTTAAATGTTTATACAAGCCTAGACAGAACAAAACCCTATTAATGTTTCTCAAATATTTCTTTGAAACTTTTCCAAAAAGTGAAAGAACAACTAACTTGATTTCAAATAATTTCAAACTTTTATTTTGAATCTTTATAGAGCTGTTGCAATTCTAATGATCATAGTAAACACATTGTTCCTTTAACTACTATTACCAAAGAAAATATATACCTCAAGTATGCATTTCGAGTAAAATAAACTATTTGGGAAACACCCATGACATTTTATGCACTACTATTTCTGAATTTCTAAAAAAATTGTAAGGTGTTTTGTAAAGATAACACCTAATATACACCGAAGAGCCATTGCATTATGACCACCCTGCTAATAACATGTAGGACCACCTTTAGCCCTCAAAACTGTTAGCACCCGCCTTGGCATTGAATCCACAAGGTGCTGATAGGTAGTCTGAGGTATCTGGTACCAAGCGCTCACCAACTGGCCCTGCAATTCCCTCACATTGCGAGGGGGTAGCGTGGCAGCACGAATTTGGTTTTCCAAGTGGGACCACAAATGCTCTATTGGATTAAGGTCAGGTGAATTTGAGGGCCAAGACATGACTTGAAAGTCAATGGAATGTTCCTCGAACCAATCCATGACGATTCGACCCTTATAACATGGTGCATTATCCTGTTGGTAAACACCATCCCCAGCAGGAAAACTGTTGCCATGAATGGGTGAACCTGGTCTGCAACTATGTTCAAGTAGCTTACAGACGTCAGGGATTGTTCTATGAGGATTATGGGTTCTAATGTGCCCCATGAAAGCATTGTTCCTGGGCGAGAAACCATGAAAACCTGGGCTAGCCCATTGTTACAGATGGAGGGTGGTCATAATGTATTGTGTATTTTTAACTTCTGAGTATAAAGGACTATTTTTTAATGTTGATAGAATTTACAGAGGACAACTCATAGCCATTATAGTTTACAATTTTATATAGTGCAACAACATATTTTTTTTATTTATTTGTTAGTTACGGCTATGGCAATTTTTGAAAGCTATTATTTTATTTAATTTTTGTCTTTTAGGAATTGATTACGAAAAAAAATGAAAATATAAAGGATAAAATCAACAGATTTAAGATGAGAAGAGGTTGTTGTGTGATGGTAGCAGTCCACAAAATGAAAGATTGGAAAAAATATTGGTTACGATTTCTTAATGAAATTTCGAGCATAGTAGCTAATTTTAACAATCATAAACATGATATTAAATACCTTCGAATGAATATAAGGTTGTGTTATATATATATATTGCTACCATTTAATTTTTCATTGTTTAATGTCGATATTTAACTACTACTAAATAAATTTCAAAAACTACATTTTTACTCAATGACCTTGATCGGTTAAATTATTGTTAAGTAAAAATATAGAAACAGAAATAAAATGAAGTTAATAGAACATAGAGAAAAACAGTAACTTCTTTTGACTGTTGAGCCACAGATGTGATGTAGTTTGAGTATATCTGCATTTAAACTCAACATGAAGCGAACTTCAACCAAACATTAATGAATTATTTTAACCCTTTTAAAAAATATTAATATAATGCGTAATTCAATAACTGAAACAATATTTAATGAAAATTATACGCAAGAGAATTTTGAATTTTTTATTCTTGCCGAAAAGTTAAGTAACAGAATTTAAGTGAAATCTTATCCTACGTAAATAATCATAAAGGAATATCTGATCTGAGCCGAAAATCAATGTGTTTTTCTTTTTCTGTAGAAGTTCTTATTTTTTTAAAGTTTTTTTTTTCATTTTAATTCTTATTTGCTTTTTTTTCTAGAGACGTACGGCAGTTTTCGAAACAAAGGACCATTATTTTTTTAACTTTTTTTTTGCAGTTTTTTCATCTTATGGCTGTTTTTTCTTTTTTTCATTGAGTGCACTGAACAAATTTTCTTCTTCATATATCCCTCGATGTCTTTTGCTTCGCTTTAGCGACCAAAACTTAAAACTTTCGGTGTCTTTCATGTCATCAATCAATACTGCTGTGGATGTTTGTTTTTCTCTCCAAACCTGGTGTTTCTCCCTCTGAACTTGTTGTTACTTTCTCTAAAACTCATGTCACTTCTCAAAACTTGATGGTTTCTTTCTCAAAACTAGGTTTCTTCTTCCAAACTTGATGGTTTCTTTCTCAAAACGTGATGGTTTCTTTCTCAAAACATAATGGTTTCTTTCTCAAGCGTGATGGTTTCTTTCTCAATTGTGATGGTTTCTTTCTCAAAACATGATGGTTCTTTCTCAAAATGTGATGGTCCTCTCTCAAAATGTGATGATTCTTTCTCAAAGCTTGATGGTTCTTTCTCAAAACTTGATGGTTCTTTCTCAAAACGTGATCGTTTCATTCTCAAAACTAGGTTTCTTTTTTTAAAACTTGATGGTTTTCTCTCAAAACGTGATGGTTTCTTTCACAAAACTAGGTTTCTTTTTCTAAACTTGATGGTTTCCTTCTCAAAACTTGATGGTGGTTTCTTACTCAAACTACGTTTCCTTTTCAAAACTTGATGGTTTCCTTCTCAACACGTGGTGGTTTCTTCCTTGAAACTTGGTGGTTCTTTTTCAAAACATGATTTTTCGTTCTCAAAACTTGATGATTCTTTCTCGGCACTTGATGGTTCGTTCTCGAAACTTGATGATTCTTTTTCAAAACGTGATGTTTCTTTCTTAAAACCCGATGTTATGTACCACCATACCTGACGTTCTTCACTCCAAGCGAGATGTTACTTTCACCAAACCAGACAATTTTTCCTCCAAACCAGATGTTGCTTTTACCAAACCTGATGTTTTGTTCTCCAAATTTTTCTAACTTAAAAATCTCTTATTACAAGGTATAATTAATATACCTTTTCAGCATAGGTAAAAATATACCTAAATCTATAGAAATTCTGCTATATGAATAGACTCCAAAAGTCAGGTATAGGACTACCTGAAGCATTAAGCTAGGTAATAATTACCTATAAAAAATATTTTATTTTGGCTCTAAGTTTTTTTTAATGGTGACGTAAATTTCCTCAAATTTCAATCGAAAAAAACCTGGCAATTACTGGATGGTTGTAACATCAGGATTTTGATCTTCTCTCAATTCTATACCTTAATTCATAGATCTTGACTTATCAGTCTCTCATTTAAAATCTCCCTCTTGTTTCTCCTCGTTCTTTCCTTTTTCCTTCCTCGTTTTTCCTCTAATTCTCTTCCTTTTTTATACGAAACCTAGTCTCTTTCTATTTCAATTTCCTTCTAATCATCCATTTCTTACTCATCTTCTCTGTTTTCTTCTCCTATTTTCTTGAACTCTGATCTTTCTCCGTTCAGTTCATTTCTCTCCAAATTTTTTTATCCATTCTTTTCTCTCTTTTCTTTATTTTCACCCTTATCTTTATTTCCTTTCTCTTCTTCACGACTTTTCCCTTCTTTATGATCTTTCCATATTTTCTTTCTAATTATTTTTCTTAAACATCTGCGTTCCCCACAAATATCTTTATTCTTTTTTGTCATTCCAATAACAATACATTTTTAGCAAACCGGGATTCATCTCAGTGATGGGCTCAAACCTTTGTTCTGTACACACAGTTTTTTTAATTTTAAACACACAAAGTTAAAGAAGAAGAAAAAAGTATGGAACTGTAGTTTGGCTTTCAATCATTAATTTTGCTTCTTCTTGAACTGAAAATACTTTTTTAAGGTAACAAACTTTTGTCTTAAAGACGTTTTGTTCTTACACTTGGTTTCATTTATTTTTTCTATGTTGTTGGTATCTTCAACTAGGACAGGCTTTACGGGTATGCTTGATGGATTTTCTCTTTTCTTTTTTTCTAATTCCGCGTCAACCTGTCTAGCTTTCGCAACGATCTCGAAATAGAAGGTAAGATTTTCGGTTGATCCAAAGTCTCTATATATTGCATCGTTATAAATGGAACTATTGGGTATTATGTAGGATGTTTCCGTTTGAACTGTTGAACTATTAAGAATGTCAGTTGTTGATTCGTTTGTTGATTCGAATTCTATTTCTTGAAGAGATGTCAGCTCAAGTTTATTAATAATCTGATTGTAGGTATTTTCTTCTTTTGAATCTTCATCTTCCTCATATAAAGCTCTCTTGCTCGGAATTAACTTGAAAAATCGCTCTCTAATCTCGTTCCAATCTATGTCTAGTTCGTCTACTGGAATATCGCCGGAACTATTAAGGTTGTCACTTGATGTTTTGTTTACATCCTTAACACTTTCCATTGCTATTTCTTGTGATGTTGTTAGTTCATGGTTATGGGTATTGTGACTATTAGAAACTGATTCTGTTTCTTGAGGGGATGTTAACTCAAGTTTATTAATAGTGTGACTGTAGGTATTTTCTTCTTTTGAATCTTCATCTTCCTCATCTGAAGTTCTCTTGCTGGGAATTAACTTGAAAAATCGCTCTCTAATATCTTTCCAATCTATGTCTAGTTCGTCTGATGGAATATCACTGGAACTATTAAG